AATCTGGGGCCGGTGCTGTGGCACAGCCAGTTAATGCCCTGGCCTGAAGCACTGGCTTCCCATATGGGCGCTGGTTCTAGTCCCAACTGCTCCACTTCCAGTCCAGCTCTCTGCTATGGCCTGGGAAAGCAGTAGAAGATGGCCCTAGTCCTTGGGCCCCTGCACCCATGTGGCAGACCCGGAAGAAGCTCCTGGCTTCAGATTGGCGCAGCTCCGGCCGTTGCAGCCATCTGGGGAGTGAACCATCAGACGGAAGACCCCCCCCCACTTTGTCTGCCTCTCCTCTCTCTGTGTAACTCTTTCAAATAAATAAGTAAATCTTTAAAAAAAAACTTACCATAGGCATTTGACAAATAAGCTCACAAATAAACCCATAACTAAAGACAATAATAATTTGGAAAAGAAAAGAAAAAAAGGTGTTCAGAGAATTTAATGGGGAGTTCTTGTTTTGACTGACAGGTAAATAAAATGATGGCATCACTGGGAAGGCAAATTTGAAGCTAACACTTGAAAAATGAGCAGGAGAGAGGCAGGCAGTAAGTACAGATAAGAGGGAGAAGCATGTGCATGGTCCTGAGGCAGAGAAGAGAACAATAAATTCTAATACCTGAAAAATGGAATGAGGCTGAGGCATAATGAACAAGAGGCCAAGCAGCAGCAGATAAAAGTAGGATACGTGGGGGAGTGCCACACCAGACAGTGCTTTGTAATCCATAGTAAGGAGTGGACAGCTATAGCGTCCATGGTGTAGAAGAGCACTGAGGATGGTGATGGTACAGATGGACCAAAGTGAGTAGGTCAATTCTATATTTTAGATGCAATCAGGAAGTAATTAACGACCATTCCCAGGAAAATTTCAATGCATTTTTGAAGGTACAATCTTGATTGCTATTGGTTGAACTTGAATGAGAGATAAGGAAATTGAGAGTAAAAGCAAACTGATCCTCATAAAAACTGATGTTAGGAAATGGAGAGAGGGCAGTAGCTAGTAGGTAGCTCAGAGTCCGTGAAGGATTTTTATTTACCTATCCATCCATCTGCCTATTTATTTAGGCAGCAAGTGAGTTAAATTTTTGTTTTTTTTTGTGTGTGTGTTTTTTTCTTCTTTGTCTGAAGAGGTGCAGAAAGCAGAGACTGGCAACTTCAAATGGCAGTAGAATAACTAACAGAAGTAAAGTAGGCAAGAGATACTACTGTTGTCAAGTAGGAAGGGAATATCATTTCCCAAAACGGAGGTGAGAAATTAGCATGTACCAGAGTACCTCTATCTTTTGTTCAGTTTCCCCACCCAATGATGCACATTGATTAAACAAACTGGCTATGAATTCTGACTGTTTGGATTGGAATTCTCAGTCTACTACGTATTACTATGATTTACCTAGTCCTCACTGGCCTCAGTTTCCTCATCTATAATATGGAGCTAATAATAGTGCCAACCTCATAGGGTTTGGGGGGCAAATACATAGGGTGGTGTAAGAATCTGCACAGAATCTGCACAGTAAATCTTAAAAATATTTCTGTTTCTACCAATAACAGCACCAATAATAATAATAATAATAATAACTGGGCATCTATTTTTCTGAGGTTTGACAAAGAGATGAAAGATATCTGGAGATAATTGTATAGGTAGAAGAGATACTGTAGATTTTCAAGTCAGTGTATTTCCTTTCCTCTAGCAAGTAAGAGGTTAGGTAGTTGACAGTAAGTGAAAAGAACAGGAAGGCGACAGGCTTGAGAGAGTGGGTAAGATGTGGAAGAGCCACTAGGAAAAAGTGGATGGCCACTGAATGGGAGCAAGTGAAGTAACTGCTGAGATGGCAATGAGAGGTCAATTCAGGCAGAAGCGAAAATGTCAAAAAATACCAGTTCACTAAGTTCACCAAAGGGAACAGGAGGAAAGAAAGCAAGAAATTTAGAGGCGGAATGAGAATGTTAAGGGAGTTGGGCTTTATTCTATAAATTCATGGGGGTGGTAAAATTTTTGATGAAGAAATCCAAAGATAAATACTCAAATTGTTACGAAGAAAACAATAGCAGTGCTGATGGGGGAAGTGAACAGCGGCAAGGAGCCTATCCAGTTTGGAGTCTCTCAGTGATACAGGAGATTACACACGTTTCCCAAATTGTCATCATTATAGTCTGTTGACAAATGATGAAGAGCAAAAAAGAACTTGGGCATATTTACACAGAGTGAATTTAATTTTGGCACATACCTGAAACATATAAATTTGCAAAATTTTTACTTTTAAAAGATTTATTTATTTATTTGAAAGGCAAAGTTACTGATTTGAGGCAGTGGGGAGGAGACACACATACAGAGATCTGCCCTTTGCTGGTTCACTCCCTGAATGGTTGCAATGGCAGGTCTTGGACCAAGCTAAAGCCAGGAGCTGGGAGATTCATCTGGGTCTCCCACGTTGAGTGATAGGGGCCCAAGGACTTGAGTCATCTTCCGCTGCTTTCCCAGGCACATTAGCAGGGAGTTGGATCAGAAGAAGAGCAGCCAGGACTGGAAATGGCACTCATATGAGACGCCAGCATTGCAGGCAGTGGCTTAACCCATGGCATCACAGTGCCAGCCACACAAATTTGTACTTTTATAGATCTGAAATATGCTATTTTTGAGCTTCTAGTTCATACTTTTAATAACTGTCCATAAGTCCATTCTATACACATCAATTTTTGTCCACTTTATACAAGGTATGTTCTAGGCACTGCAAAGTACACATTATATCATTCAGTTAAAAATACTTTTCCTGATATGAATTTATCTAAACTTTATTTGGCAAATCCTGATTGATACTGTATTAGGTAATTTCCATGGTATAAACTACTTTCCATTGTCCTTCACCACTCTAAGTGTTCTGAGAGAAAATAAGAAGACCAGGTTATACACACACATCCACAAAATTATTTATGGATATGTGCATAAACAAGAAATCTCTTCCATTTTCTATTCTGCTTTTGATTCAGAAAGTATATTACTTTTTATGTCCCCAACCTTCATTTCCTCAGTGTGGTACCAAGGATATTCCTTTTGAAGGACTTGCTTGGCAAACTAATACATCTTCTAAGATAAACTGCATGCAGGAAAAAAAATGGCTTCAGAGAAATTGTGTAGTGTACCTACTGTAAAACTTATAACCATCATGACACAGCTGAATTCTTGGCTGGAATATAGCCTGGCTTCAATTGTAATATGAATCCACACAGCTTGAGATTCAAGTGTGGACTCTGGTCTAAGAAATGTTATTGTTTAATATTGTGCTAAAGTGATATTAGTTAATTAATAATATCTAGGCAATTCAGTTGATTAATTTGCCCGCTTCAAAAATAAAAGAAGTACACGTTTCCAGTACCTTTATATGCTCAATCTCATCCAAAATACACGTTCCTGATTTTCTTTTCAAGGATTTGATAGAATCCATACACATCAGTGTATGTAATGCCATATCTTAATAACCTCAAAATATGGGCAAAGAGTTATTGAATATGTCAAAAAGAGCACAGTGTGCCTAGTCTCTAAGTTTGATTTTAAACAGCAAAGTACCAAATCCAATCAGTTCTAATATATTACTAATGAAAAGGTTATAAAATAGTTCAAATGAAGAAACAACCTTTATTGACTAAGGGATCCGTTGGCAACTTAAAAATTCTTAACATGCAGATGGAAAACATTCAGAGATTCAGGATAAAGGTAGCAACCATAATGGAACTGTTCATTCATACAGCAAATAAACTTGTACTAAATACTCAAGTAAAAAACTTTTGTTTAATCTAAGAAATTAAGTAAATCTTCATGCCCTCTTTTGTGTTCTTTTATTGCCAATTATTTAAATAACATGTTTTGGGAATATTAAACATATATGTCTACATTCTTTAATACAAATTCATGAGCCATCATCAAAAGTATCCCTTAAATACTTTAACTACCCCTTAAAATGAATGGGCATAAAAAAAAAGAATTCATTCCAGTAGTGATTTAGTCACATTATGATAAACTGTATGATGTATTTAGAGAATGAGCCAGCTTTAAAAAAAATACTTATTTGCAAGGCAAACCAAAATACAGAAAGCGAGATACCATTCCCTGCCTTACGCTCTAAAACTCTCCATGGGGGCAGGTGCTACGGTACTGCAGGCTAAGCTGCTTCTTGGGATGCTTACATCCCATATCAGAGTGCCAGTTTGAGTTCCTGGCTACTCCACTTCCAATCCAGCTGTCTTATACATCTAGGAAGCAGTAGATGATGGCTCAAATACTTGAGTCCCTGCTACCCATGTGGGAGACCTGGATAAAGTTTCAGGCTCCTAGCTTTGGCCTGGCTAAGTTCTGGATGTTATAGCCATTTGGGGAATAAACCAGCAGATGGAAGATTCATTCTCTCTCTCTCTCTCTCTCTCCCTCTCTCTTCCACTCCCTCTCTCTCCTATCCCTTACCTCATCATTTTAGCTTTCAAATAAGCAAACAAATAAATAAATCCTTTAAAAAAATTCTAATGTCTTGGGCTGGGTTGGGAACTGGAACCAGGAACCAGGAAATAAATCAAGGTCTCCCACATGGGTGGTAGGATCTCAATTACTTGAGTTACCTGAGCCATCATGCCTGCTTCCCAGGGTCTATTATTACCCTTTAATTTCAGCCAAAGATTTTTGGGGCTAAATCCTAACATCAATATCTAAATAGAAAAAAAATAGCTGACACAATCCTGTATGTATCTTTATATATATTAATAAAATTAAATATCAGTACTATTACAGAGATTATCCCATAACGTATCTAAATTTTTTTGTGTGTATCAAAATTAATGTAATTACATTCAATAGCATGACAAATAATAACAGATGAATAAGGATTTTATTCTGAGCCAAAATTATATTAAATTATGTAGCTATACAGTAAAAAAAAATCAACAATTGATAGGTCTTTCTTTTCACTGTTTCTGACATGTATTACCGCCTAGCTGATTCCGTGGGACTTTAGGCTCTTGATACATACCACAACTCCAAATTGTTCAGGCTCACAGAGGTCATCATATTCATTCTTCAGCTGTGCTAATTCACTGAGTACCTTCTGTTCAGGAAGGTGTTTTATCAGATTCTAAAAATAAATAAAAATATAAAGACTTATTTTTTATTATTTTAAAGATTTATTAAGAATTCTTTTTTTTTAAGATTTATTTGTCTATTTGAAAGGGTTACACAGAGAGAGGAAAGGCAGAGAGAGAGAGAGAGAGAGAGAGGTCTTCCATCAGCTGGTTCACTCCCCAGATGGCCACAACAGCCAGAGCTGTACTGATGCAAAGGCATGAGCTGTGCCAATTTGAAGGCAGGAGCCAGGAGCTTCTTCCCAGTTTCCCACAAGCGTGCAGGGGCCCAAGGACTTGGGCCATATTCTACTGCTTCCTAGGTCATAGCAGAGAGCTAGATTGGAAGTGGAGCAGCCAGGACTCGAACCCTCATTCATATCAGATGCTAGCACTGCAGGTGGCAGCTCCACCCACCAGCTACGCCACAGGCCACAGTGCCAGCCCCATTAACAATTGTAAAAGTGCTTAACTAGGATATTAAATTTCTAAAAAGAGTTGTATTATAGTACCAGAATATTCGAACTTTTCTCTCCAAAAATTAACCTAAAAATAGACTAAGAAGAAATATGAATAAAACATAGAAACTTGTTTGGCTTCTATGTACTACATTCCATAAACGTCAATTAAAATAAAGACTATATAGGAATAAATGGCTGGGCACATGGAAGACCAAATAACATAGCCAAAATGAGAGCTTAAATTATGATCTCACAGCTAGATTTATTCTGTCAATGGGCACGGCAAACAGACAAAACCTCCTTTTTCAAACCAAACAAAGGGAGAGATAAAAAGTCTTACTAATAGCTTCAAAATTTATAGACAGGTTGCATAAGGTGGTCTTCACATTTGATGTTAAAGTGAGGACATAGCTTTCCTCATAGGCCGTGTCTACCTCACAGAAAATCCACTATCAGAATACACCTGTGACGAGAGAGTTCCAGCTCAAGCCATCAAAGTTTAGGGATGGGACTCAGCACCCCTTTAACTTGCATCCTCTTAGAAGTTTCCTCTGGTCTGCTTTAACAGAAACCAGGAAGAAGAGGAGTAAGCTAGGCAGGATTAGCAATGTAAAGACTGGTGGCAGGCCAATTAATGGTAGCTTTACTCAGTGATCTGCCATCAAGGAAACCCAATAGGCCAGTCCACTGCAAATGGCATTGGTTTTTGATGTGGAAAACCAGGGCTTCAGCAGAAGTCAGCTTATGAAGAGCCCTGGAAGCTCTGCCAGCCCAAGGCTGGGTCACTGGCGATGGGACTGCCCTAGGGATTGAAGGACTCCTGGGTCAGAGTCACAGATTCCATTAGCTCTAAGCTGAAAAAAGCTCTTCACCTGGCCCAGCTTCCAAAGTAACCACCACTGTTGAGGGGATGGCCAAGTAGGGTTAGAAACATTGCAGGCAGAACTGCAAATTTCCTTTTAGACATGCCACCTGCCTTTTATTCAGGCTGCTTTCCTCCCAGGCCAGCTAAGTAATGGAAGTCAACAAGGTGCTTTCCCTAAGGCGGTTCACACCTCCTTTATGATGTCACTTTCGGTACCCCATGTGAAGAGATAGATAGGTCTGGGCCTCCTACTTGGCCAGGTCTTAAAGCCCACCTGATTATTATCAAGCCCCTTCTGTCAGTTTCTATTTGCCTCTCAATGGGAAAACTTCCTCATGGTTTAGACAGCTCCTTTCTTCTGAGAATGACTCTGCCCTTTGTTTTAGACCCTGTGTATTTAATCTTTCTCCAGACTTGAAAGTGAAATTATAGATGGTCATGCATATGAAACCCCAGATGGAAGCAGTTTCTGTAAGCTGGCACTGTTTATCCCTCTAGAGGCCACCTCCTGCTGGAACTCTGTCTTGTCTCCCTGTCCCAATGACACCCCTTTTCAGCATGAAGCAGCCAGAGTAGTCATTACTCAGTTCCCTTAACAGAAGTTAGGGTTCATTCTTCTGGAGGAGGGAATGTGAGGAGTCATACAGGTTAATAGGCAATCAGGTTGGTCCCAGTGGAAATTCAGGGTGCAAAATGCTTGCTTTCCACAAGTTATCTTTAGCAAGGTCAACAGTGCTTGCTTGTCCACTTTTTTTTTTTTGACAGGCAGAGTGGACAGTGAGAGAGACAGAGAGAAAGGTCTTCCTTTGCCGTTGGTTCACCCTCCAATTGCTGCTGTAGCCGATGCACCACGCTGATCCGAAGCCAGGAGCCAGGTGCTTCTCCTGGTCTCCCATGGGGTGCAGGGCCCAAGGACCTGGGCCATCCTCCACTGCACTCCCGGGCCACAGCAGAGAGCTGGCCTGGAAGAGGGGCAACTGGGACAGAATCCGGTGCCCCAACCGGGACTAGAACCCAGTGTCCTGGTGCCGCAGGCGGAGGATTAGCCTATTGAGCCGCGGTACCAGCCCTCTGCTCCTTTCAATCCAGGTCCCTGCTAATGTGCCTAGGATGCAGCAAATGATGGCTCAAGTACTTGGGTTCCTGCTGCCATTATGAGAAAACCACATGGCCTGGCTCTCGGCTTTTGCCTGGCCCAGTCCCAACTGTTGTAGTCATTTGGGGAGGAAACCAGCAGATGGAAGCTGGCTTGCTTGCTCGCTCTCTCTCTCTCTCTCTCTCTCTCTCTCTCTCCCTGTATGTGTGTGTGTGTATGCATGTGTTTCCCTCTCTCTCTGTTACTCTGCATTTCAAACAAATAAATAATCTTTTTTAAAAAAAAAGCCACAGAGAGAAGTAACTTACACTTACAAGGGATCTTCAATAAGACTAAAATGCCTAATTTCTCATCAGAAACCATAGAAACATTGTTTTGAATGAAAAAGCTGGCACCAAGAATTCTATATCCAACAAAACTATCTTCTATCAACTATGAAGGAGAAATTCAGCCACTCCTAGATTAAATTTAAAACAAAAATCCTGAGATAATTCATTGCTAGCAAAACTGACCTATGAGAAATACTACAGGCTAAAACGAATGGGCTCTAAACAGTGACTCAAAGATATATGCAGCAATAAAATCATGTATAAAGGTAGCCACACAGGTAAATATAATAAGCCAATGTTCTTACACTAATACTTTGTGGTGCCTCTTATTTTCCTATATGATTTAAAATGCAATGCAAAAATAATAAATATAAATCTTTGTTAATGGACATAAAATGTAAAATGATGTAAGTTTTGACAATTAAAATATTAAAGGGCAGGGACAGAGATGCACAGGAAGAGAGCAGATGCATATGATTAAAATTAGGCTCATGGAATTCAAACTAGGTTGTTCAAGTTTAAGAAGTTAATTGTAATCTCCAAGGTAACTACCAAGAAATAACCAAAAATCATCAGGAAAATAAGAAGGAATCCAAATGACACATGTAAGAAAACTCAATACAAAATATATAATAATATATATATCGTTGAATGAAATAAACAAGTCAGGCTAAAATGTAAAAAAATTAAATGGGCATGTATATAAGTTTTGCTACAAATAAAATGTTTTGATAAACTTTGTTTTAAATCTTTTATGAACAAATTGATGGGAATTATATACTACCATAGTTTTAATGATTTTATGACTATTTTAAAATTTACTTTATACAAGTGAAGTTAAACTTCTTTTCATTTGATTATTACATATAGCCCTTGCATATTTTCCTGCTGGACTATGGTCTTTTTTCTCTTTATTTAAGAGAGCCATTAAGACTTTGACTGTAATGTAAATTAAAAATATATTAGCCATAAGGGAAACACAAATCAAAACCACAATGAGGTTTCACCTCACTCCAGTTAGAATGGCTCGCATACAGAAATCATCAAATCATAAATGCTGTTGAGGATGTGGGGGAAAAGGTACCCTGATCCACTGCTGGTGGGAACGTAAACTGGTGCAATCACAAAATACATACAGAAAACAAATAGCTAAATGGCAGGACCAAGCCATTCCTTAACTGTAAATTCTTTAAAGCTAAATTGATTACAATTTCCAATTAAAGGGAAGAGTTTGCCAGAATGAATTAAAAAATAATTCTCTTCCATGCAGTCTGTAAGAAACTCACTTTAGATACCAAGACATAGAGGTTGAAGATAAAAGGATGGAATATCATATTTCACATAAAAAGTAAGCAAAAGAGAGGTGGGGTTGCTATTTTTTGACAGACAAAATGGACTTAAAGTTAAAAAAAGGTAAATGTTTCAATCTATCAACAAGGCTTAATGATTATAAACACATGCACATCTAAGAACAGAGTTCCAAAATTGAAATAAAAATTGACAAAATTGAATGGAAAAAATACAGCGTTCTGCAATAATGGGTAACAAATTCAATATTGTAGTTTCAACACTGCTTAGAACAACTAGACAGAAGATTAATAAGGAAAGAAAAATGGAAAAACACTACAAACCAATGAGCCCTCACAATCATATATAAAACACTCTACCCAAGAAAATCATAATGTATACAGTTCTCAAGTGTTTTGCAAGACAAACCTTATGTCAGGCCACAACAAAATTTTTTTAATTAATTTTAAAGGGCTAAAATAATATACAGTATCTTTTGTAATCATAATGAAATAATATAAAGTATCTTTTGTTATCATAAGCTATGAGGAGATAACTAAAGGAAAAGTAGAAGGTTTTCAGCTATACAGCTGTTAACAAACACTCTCGAACAACCAATGGGTCATTAGAAGGAAAAGCAAGTAAAACTGAGAAATGCCTTAATATATATGAAAACAAAACCACAAAATACCAAAGCATGAGAAATACAGTGAAAATAGTGCTAACAAAGGAATATTGTAACAGTAAATGCTTACATTAAGGATGAAGAATGATCTCAAAATAATAACCTATTTATACATTTTAAAGAACTAGAAAATGTAGAGTAAATTAAACCTAAAACAGAGCAGGAGGGAAATATAGATAAAACAAAATAGAGAACTTAAAACCAATAGAGAAAATCAGTGAAAGCGAAAAGTCGGTTCTTTGAAAACAAACAAAAAAAACCTGACAAACCATATCAGATTAAGAGAGAAGA